CACAGCCATCAAGAAGACTGCGTGAGCTTTCTTTCGTCTAACGCTTGTCCCAAGACCGAGCACGAGCTGTTCTGTGGAACGCCCTCTTGGCGGTATGTGAAATGGCACATAATCTTGACCTCTTGGCTTAGGACCCTGCGAGCCTGTGCTCGCGGGCGCCGTCGGAAGGCACCAATCTCTCAGCACCGCCAGACTTTGAAGCTAGATCTTCAAAAGAATCTGCACGAATGCTGCGTGCCCATTCTGTACACTCGATGGGGTACCCGAATGACTTAAGACTTAAGCAGCATGAAGTATGTAGCTGCTTGGCAGGGCCTTCTCTTCTTCCCTGCTTTTGCTGATGGCTGGGCTCTCAAGTTTTGATGTGCCGTCCTTGTCACTGGGTCAGCAACTTAGCCAAGGTACACCGGATGAGTCTGGGGCTTAAGATCTGTTGGAGCAGTTCACCAGATACCTTTATAAGATCAGTTTCGATCCACACTCATCGTACTCATACTCTGTCATACTCCCTCTTGATGACTGTCGTTCTGTTCTTGGAAGGTGGCAGGATCCAGTGTTTAGGTGCACGGACTGAGATTGAGCACGATTGATGATGCTTGCATTCTGCCAGCAGACACAGCAAGGGAAATTGGCTTGCTGGGCAGTGGGGCAGGCTTAAGCACAAGTTAAATCACGACTCTGAACTCGTGCAACTGTCGCAAAGACAGTGCCCACCGGTCGCAATACCTCAAAATCCTGACACCTGAAATGGCTGTAGATGGTCCATCGATTCATCTCTCTTGCGGCACACGACCAAAGAGTTGATTCAGCAGATCAGCAAGGTAGCCAGATGTGCCGGTGCATAGGATGCGCCATCATACGTAGGCTTTAGGTGTTGATTCAATCTCCGAGTGCACCTCAGGCGAACAGTCCACGCCGCGGAACCAGCGGTTGATGAAAAGTGGATCGCACAGGCAGCCAACCCGGCAAGGTGTTTCTTGAATCTGAGCCCGGCACCACGCAGCCACGTGAGGTATGGATGGGCGCACCACTGCCGGCCGAAGTGCAAAAAGACCCGCTTTGAAAGAGCCAGACCTTGGTGCCAGTGTGGCAGTTTAGCCAGAAGATTTTGATGGCTCTCATGTGCTGTCACGTCATGATTTTCCCCACGCCGACATGTGGCTGGGTCTGAAAGCACATAGAGGGTGACCCTGAGTTGAACACCTATACACCTATGCAGGCTGTGGTTTTTGTCGTTGTCGAGGCAGTCTATACTCGCTTTTTCATTGGCTTGCTTTGCGTCTAGGTCAAAGGATGCGATGGTTGGGCGACATATTCCAACATGTTGACGTTGCTGAAAAGGTAGCGATCACAAGGATGGTTGTTTTGAGGAACCGTAATTCTACTCAACTCTCAATACGGCACCCTGTGTAGTCTGGGAACCCACAAGAGATCCTAATTTGGACAACCACCCATGTAACATCGGACAGTCCACACTTTTTCATTTTTTGAGCCATGCTGCGCTTGGCTCCTACTGCTGATGTCTATGCGAGACCAGCAAAGATCTGGCTCCGGGCTGGGCTGCCCCTTACACTTGTTGGCCACTCTAGGCCCTGTAGGCAATGCGCATTCGCCAGCTTTGCGATGCATGCATGCGCCTGGACTGGCTTGAGACGCACGCCTGCTGTTGCTGCAAAGTTCTGGAAGGTCAACTCCGCCGCGCAGAGCCGGGCAAGTGCTGCATGCACCCGAGATACGTCGGGGCTGCCGGTTTCCGGAGCGGATCCGATGGGCATCGAGGGCTATGGGGCCGGCATGTCGCGGCAGGAGGTGAAGCCTG